GTATGTGCAAATGTAACCGGAACAACATACATAGAATATCCAGTACATACATATGTATGTACGTGTATTAGTACAGTTTATGTATATACTTTATATACATTCTTTTTATATATAGCATGTATACCCATGTGGGAATTTTATACATCAGACTAGTATTAGATACTGGCAAGATACAGATCCAGTACCGAAAAACGAGTTTTACGTTTCGGTACTGGCATAGTACAAAACCAGTATTAAAATAACAATGGTTTAGTACTAACCCATTATCTAAATCAGTATTGAATAATGGTACTGAAATGGTATACTGCCGGTAAATTTACGGTACTGTATTTGTACAAAAATTAGTAAAAGAAAATGTCAAATGTCAAGTACCGAGACGGTATACTGCCGGTAAATTCAAGGTACCGTGCCCGTACTGGAATTGGTAAAAGATGAGCGTTGAATGCCAGTATCGAAATGGTACAATGCCGGTAAATTTTTTAGCACTAAAATTGGCAAAAGAAGAACATCGAATACTTAGTATACATCATAGGAGGCAGTGTCAAAGAGTATAACCGTTGTATATTTTAATGTGACAGAAAGTGAAACTATATTCTAGTCCATTGCGTTATTAACAAAACGGATAAAACTTTAAAATGGTGATACACGCTTATTTATTGAGCCTTAGCTTGTTCTAGGTGCTATTTATTAATATATTTTACATGTGTTTGTCGTATATCTTACATCTAATTGTCGAACGTTTCGGCACCTTTTTTTGGGCCTTCTTCAGCGAATCTAATTTTTGTTGCGTCTCTTAGTCAAAATTTAAACTGGTTGTTTTTTTGGTGTAGGTCTCTTTTGTCCATTTTTACGAACTTTTTGTCCACCCCTTGCTTTTTCCTCGTGTGTCAGACATGGCAACTTAATTCTTCTGACTGTCTGGATTGATTTTTATTGTGACTTGTTACTTTTGGTGTTGTTTGTTTCATGAAACGTACGTGTATTAGTACAGTGTATTAGTGTTGTTCGTTTCATGAAACGAACAACACCAAAAGTAACAAGTCACAATAAAAATCAATCCAGACAGTCAGAAGAATTAAGTTGCCATGTCTGACACACGAGGAAAAAGCAAGGGGTGGACAAAAAGTTCGTAAAAATGGACAAAAGAGACCTACACCAAAAAACAACCAGTTTAAATTTTGACTAAGAGACGCAACAAAAATTAGATTCGCTGAAGAAGGCCCAAAAAAAGGTGCCGAAACGTTCGACAATTAGATGTAAGATATACGACAAACACATGTAAAATATATTAATAAATAGCACCTAGACAAGCTAAGGCTCAATAAATAAGCGTGTATCACCATTTTAAAGTTTTAATTGAAAAACTGAGCCTAATTAAAAAATTCTTTTTATAAAACGGATAAACTTAGTAAAAAAGAATTATATTTCTTTACAAAAAAAGAGAACCTTGAATAATTGGCCGAGAAACGGAGTAATAACAGTTATTGTGAGTGATAACTCTGTTATTTATCATTTTTACTAGTTGTCAAATTCTCTCTTTTTTTTGTATTATAGAAAATAATTTTTTAATTGCAATTATATCAATTTTATAACTCATAGTTACAGCTATATCCAGTGGTAAAAATTTAATAAAAAATGCTGAAAAGGAAGTACTTTTATACCAAAAAATATCGAGATTTAAAGAAGCTAAAGACTATATCATCATCATCGTTATCATGATAATGAAATATATGAAAACGAGAATCAAAAAAATCAGTTACAATCTGACAATATTTGGGTAACCGAAAGTGAAGTTGAAAAACAACGTGCACAAATTTTGCCTTCTTCTTCAGCGTTATCTCATGATAATAGAAATACCAAGTAATTGCACACATATTTAGAATTAAAAATATTTTACATATTTGATGATAAAATTATCTGTTCATCATTATTTGATGATGATATTGAAATTATCTGTTAATACAATTTATACTTTTTAACAACGTAATGATTAATTTTGATGAAATTTTTGGATTTATTATTAAAAAAATAAATAAATGAATAATAAATAATAAATAAATAAACAAATAATAATAATAATAAATAATCTTTTGAATATTAAATATATTTTCTAATTAAATAAGTAAAATACTTCAATCTTAGCATCTTTGATAATGAAATTACATCATCTTCATCAAGTGAAGAATTATGTCAGGACAACGAAGTCGAAGAACAATTAGAAAAATTAGATCCAAACATTTCTTTTAAACAAAAGATACTTGATTGGTCTGTTAAAAAATGTTGCATGTCTCAATAACAAAATGTTATCTGAGTTATTATGTATTTTGAAAACTGAACATGACGAATTTCCAAAAACAGCTGCAACATTTCTGCAAACTAAAAATTCCAGAAATGTTGTTAAATTTATGTTAAGTGCTAATGGATCGTTTGGTACTTACATTTATTTTGGTTTAGAAAAAGCTCTTAAATTGATGATAAATCCTAAAGTATATGTAAAAGATGTAATTGAAATTTTTGTTAACATCGACGGTGTACAAATTTATAAAAATTCAAAACAACAATTTTGGCCTATATTGATTATGTTACATGATAAGAAATACATTGTCAAACCGCAAGTTGTTGCTATATATCACGGTGAATCTAAATCAAACTGAGACTACCAAGGCACAC